AAGTTGACAACTTAGTAGGACTTAGTTTGTAACATTAGTTCTAGTTGTGGTGAAAATATATTTCTCGACCAATCCCTCTGGAGATGATACTCACTTACCCTAAATTACTTGCATCGATTGTGTACACTTGCACAGATTTGCTTGCCTTAGCATATACATTTACAAGCGATCACCTAGCTATTTTGAGACAATTTATTCATGGTGTTCGCTCTATTGTAGGTGATGATCGTTTCTTCTTCATTTCCTTCATTTTTGCTAATTTTGCTATTGGACTTAGGAGGCATCTATGGAATCAATTACAAGCCTTAGACTATAGTGTGAATTGGCCTTGGATTTTTGAGGTGATGTAAATGTAATTGGAAGTCATTTCAAATGTTTAGGGGCTCTCAAAGACGTGTTAGGCTATACATTTTGACATTTTATGTTTGAATCTGACTTGATCAATATGGGCTTTAATGGATCAAAGTTTACTTAGAAAAGGGGGACCATTTCAAAGAGATTGGATCATTGTTTGTGTAATGCAAACGGGTATGATACTGTTAGCTTCATCGAACAAATCCGAAATCACCAACACGGGGTGAATTGGCCTTTTAAAGCTTAATGATGGAAGCAAGGGAAAAATAAAATTTCCATAAAAAATTAGAGTGGTTCAACTTTCTAAACCAAAGTCTACATCCACTATCTTAGCATCCACACTAAGGATTTCTTAAATCCAATAGATTTGCTAACCTTTGAGGATAAGGTCTAACCTTACAACAATACAAGGTTTATACCTTAAAACATTGTTTACGCTCTTTCCACAAGAGGAATTACAAATTTAGAAAACAAAGGAAAAACCTCACAAAGGCAAATGTGTTTGCAATTAATTAAGCACACACACAAATCACACTTGAGCAAGAATGAACAAAGAAGCTCACAATTGTGTTACAAAGAAATATGACAATTTAGCTCTAAAACGCTTTTGATATTGGTTTGGTATTGCAATTAAATTTCTTGTTATTCTCCATTTTAATCTTGCTCCCTTTTATGTCTTCTAACATCACTCTAGACGTTCGGAGTCGTTGGGGATTGATTAGAGCCATTGGATTCATTAATTTTGAGCATTTAATGCTCACATGCACATTTGGTATCGATATCGAGTAGTTGGTATCGAAACTAACCATCCTAACGGTAAAAAATATAAATGTTGACCCCTTCGTATCAATACTGTTTAAATGAGTATCGATACTCACAAATCTATATCGATACAAACATCATGGTATCAATGCCAAAATGCCCACTGGAATTTTGGTATCGAGACTAGCATGTTGGTCTCGAGACTGACAAAGGTTTTTGTCTAAGTTCAAGTGTTTTGAGCATTAAAACAACATTTGTAAAATATGAAATCACTCAATAACACTTATGAAAAAATTTCACACTTAAAAATGCTTTTAAATAGTTTATGACAAATTATTTATAAAATCGTAAAATGCAAAATTTAACAACTTAAAACATTTAGAAGATCATGTTATATCAAAATCAAATGATGGGTCAACAATTTACCCTTTTTTATATAACAAAAACCTTTGTGAAAATTTGCTTTAGCTTTAAAAATGATTTATCAATTTAGTTTTGTGAAAAATAAAATCTCCCCCTAAATAAAACATTTTTTGCCTAAAATAAACTTTGACTAGCAAATTTTATACGTACACATATTTCTCCCCCTTCTTGTTATGAAAAATCAAATTAAACTTTAAAAGAAAAAATATATTAGTGTAATAAGGAATTCCAAGATTCAATAATAATGGTAAGATCAAATTATTCTTAACAGATAATAATTAGGTTCATAAGCATAAAATTAACATCAAAAGTATTTCAAACAAAAGTAACAATCATAAGTCAACATAAAGTACCAAAAACAAAATATCCATAAAGTACATAAGTCTAGTCAAAATGAAATTGTCTTAAAAGCAACATAGGAAAACCTATTCTTCCGGAGGCGGTGAAGAAGCAGAGGGATTCATCAAGTGATGACAAATCAAGAAAACATCATCACAAATTGAACGAACGTCAGTCTTGATAGAGTCTAAGCGATGATCCATCATAGTCATAAGAGCATCCAAGTTTGCAATGTCTCAAACTATGTCATTGTACATAGTTTTCATCGAGATCTTCTCTTGAGGTGGTGGCACCGGAGGCTTTTCCATTTCATTTCTTTATTCCTCGATGACGTCCATGAGTTGGCTTCGATAAGAACACATTCACCGATATTTTCATCAAAATCTCAATTGGCCTTGTGGGACGATTTTAGATCGATGACACTAACAAGAGGAATGGAAGGGTCATAAGCGGTGGACACTTAAAGTTTTTCCCTAAATATGTAACTAATGATACAACCGTAGGAAGAGTTTTGGTGTAATTTTCCCCTTTTGAGATAACATCGACAAGCTCTAGGAATGTGATCATGGAGAAATTTGGATGGATGTCGTTCTTGATATGATAAAACCACCAATAATCACAAGCACACATATTGATAGTTTTACCATCTGAAGGGTGAAAAACCATGTAATGAAGAGCAACAAGAGACGATCGGGGAACTCAAAAGAGCTAGGGATATCATTTTGAAATCTCGCCATAGGAACATAGGTATTATCCTTAAAAGGCCCATCATCATTGTTTATATTAAAAAAAGAGGCAATGAAAGTGTGACTAAGAGTAAATGCTTTTCCCATAAGATATGACTCTATCCCTATAACCTTGTTATCATTATTTTCCTCATGAACTAGGATAGCGTTTGAAAAGAAAACACGAACAATGTTTGGATTAACCTTGGGAAGAATGTTAAACAAGTCTAACCATCCCTAAGAGACAAAGGTTTCTAAAATGATGAATTGATAAACCCATGAAATAAGAAAGTTTGGGTCGATGGTATGTTTGGTTCTAAGAGATTTTGCTTTGAAAAAGCAGTTGAATAAATCAAGGGCATTTGGATCCCAAAAGCAAGCATTTTCAAAACTAGTGAAATTTGAGGATTGACCCTGAAGAGTAGTGGCACTAGTATTAAGACGTTTTAGATCGGTTCTATGAGGCATTTTGGACAAAAAGAAACGACTATGGAAAGTGAGTTTGTTTAGGAATTTTGTCGAATTGGTGGACAAACCTAAAACAAGGGTTCTAAACAAAAAAAAAATTGTGATTTTGTTAACATCATGAAATGAAAAAAAAAACATATAATACAACCCAATCAATCAACCAATTTCATCAATTTTGTTCAAAAATTGCATAAGTTTGAAAAAACTTTCGAAACCCTATTTAAACCATTTTTGAAAAAAATTGTGTGAAAATCATAATGTGTTGAAAATAAGAAAGTGTTCAAATGGAATATAAACTATTTCAGAAAGCAAAACAATCTTAAAAACATGATTAACATGAAATATTTAGCATAAATTTTGAAAAAAATGTTTAAATGAGATTACCTCAACTTTTTGATGAAAAATGTTGATGATATAGATGCAAACCCACTCTAGATGATGATGGAATGAAGAAATCGATACGAATTTGTGCTCAAACGGAGTGAAGATGAAAGATTTTTTATAGGTTTTTATAGAGGTCTAGTTTGGGTTTATAAGGATTTGATAAAAAAATATAACTTTGGGGGGAATGGGGTAATTTAACGCGTAAGAAACCTTGGTCTCAACACTGAGACAAGCAGTCTTGAGACTATGTCACAACCTGCCTTTTAGAGGTAAAAGTTAACTTGTTGCAACGATGGGGTTTCTGAAGTGATTTTGCAATGAAATGTTTGGATTCGCTACCAATCATTTTAAGGTGCGATTGAAACACCGAAAATCGATTAATTTTAATAAAACATTTATTTTTAACAAAAATATCAAATTTGGGTCTACAAAAACCAGAAACCAGGTTCGGGAGTCGATTACGTATGAAGAATGGTTAACACCCCCCACAACGCCCAAGAATTGGTACCTAATCGATTACCCTATATTTAAAATTTTGAAAATTTGAGTTCGATGCTTTGTTTAATTTAAAAAATCACTACGGATGCAAGGTTTGGAAAAGGATGTTAGTTTACTAAGACCGATGACGACCACCCTCGAGTATCATTGATAAAAGTAAACGAACATTGCCTTAAAGTTTGAGAAATCGTGGTATTGGTTTTGAAGATGATGTTGACTTACTTCGGGAATTACCAGTGGTCACCCCCTGAGCATAACATAGAGGATACACTATTAATTCCTTGATAAATGAACATTGCCTTGTAATTTGAAAATCAAAATACAATAAAAAAAACCTTTTAAAGACCAAATTATACTAGTTAGGTTAATTAAAGGCTTCTCCTAACTTAATGTGTCAAATTATGAAGATTAAGCAACCTAGAGGACTAAACCTGAAAAATAAAGTCTAACATTAATCCTAATTTATTTTAGCCAATTATTGAATTGAATAATCGATTTGAACAATCGAGCATCTAATTGCAAAAGCCAAAATCGAATTATTCCTAATTTAAAGGATTAAAGTGTGAGAAATCTAAATATAGGAGTCGAACTTAAAATCTAGTTAATAATTAAAGAAACAAATTAATCTTAAAATAAAAAAAGTTAAAATTACCACAATTAAATAACTAAACATGATTTTAAACACCCAAATAATAAAATTACTATAAATAACTAAGTATACCAGTTTCAGTGTAATGACTAAATTAAAATAAAATTAAACATACAAAATTAGAATTATGATTGTGACCTAAGTGGGGAAACAAGCCTAAACTAAAATGACTAAAGCATAATTAATCCATTTTTATAAACCTAAAACTCACTAACAAATGAAATTTGTAAAAATCCAAAATCATGACATTAAAATTAAAATAAACGCGAAAAAGTCACAACAGTTGACTAAAATGTAAAATGGTGCTAAATGTAGAATGACTAAATAGTAATTAACCCTAAATATTCTAATATAAATACCTAATTATAACGTAATTAAACTTAACCTAATCCCTTCTTCAATCTCTCAACCGCCTATCTTCTCTTTTGCCCCACCAAAGTTACGGTCACCTCTTCACAGGCCTACAAGCTCAAAAGGGTTCGCCGACCACTGTATATACGGTGGTCATTGTATCTCGTCAAAACTTAACCCGAACGAAGCCCAACTCCTTCTAATCACCGAGATTTTCGAGACTTCCTAACACCATTCATCAGCGATCTACCCTCTTCGGCCACCACCCACGGTGGCTGATTGAACTTTGAACCAACGTAGGACGTAACTACACCTTCTTCCCCCTCTGTTCTTAACCCAAAACGAACCCTTGAGAATTAAAAGTCACAACAACCCTAGAAAAACTAACAACCGATGACTCTTGGCTCTAACCGTATCGACCCACGACTCCGACGGTACCCCGAGGATGCTACCAGCTTACCTCTCCTGTGAAACGGTTGAATCACGAAGGTAAACCACTAATCTTATCTCTCTGTTTTTTTTTTTGGCTTTGATTTCACTCTCACACATAAAAACATATGGAAATCGAAAATGATTGAGGAATGTCGTATTGCTTCTGTGTATTCGATTGTTTTAAAAAATAGGGATGAAGGTCCCTTACACTGCTTTTATTCGAATAGGAGGAGGAGAAGATATCTATTTCTCTTTTTTGGATTCGGGAAGAGGAACCCCTTTACATTCAATTATTTGGGCTTTATAGTAACCCTTGCTAAAATCCAAAAAACAGAAAAGCAAAATTAAAATTACATTAATTTTCCTCTCATTTTGCTTGCATGTTATGATGCGTGGAATCGTTGGAGGCAGTTGGAATGTTGAAAACGAGGCTCGGCTGTTGCGAGGAGTGTACGGCTACAGCTGGAGGCAATCTTCCTTGGATCCATCTAGAAGGCGGCGGCAAAGGGTTTGTGAAATTAGGGTTTGAAACCCTAATTTATGATATGATCATGTTTAATCTGGACCATTGATCTGAATAGATCCAATGGTTGAAGTTTTCAAATGATGAAGACCCTTTGGTGCTAGGGTTTGTTGATAACTCTAAGCTTGTTGGGCTGCTGTTGGGTATAGGTAGATTTGGTCTAATTAAGGCCTGGTTATTTGGTCTTAGTTGTAATGGTAAATGGGTTAAATAGTATGGCTTGTAAAATGGACATTTATTTAAAACTGATCTGGTTCAATTGGGCATTTAACATTTATTTGGATTTACTTTAAAAATGAACTCTTAAAACTAAAAAATGAGCAAATATGGTTATCAATCTAAAATCCAAATTCAAATATTTGCAAGTCCTCGAACCATTTCCGCCAGTGCCACCGAAATTCTTTGACACATGTTCACCAAATGCAAAGCTCCGTGATCACTTTCATCCAACAAACCAATTTGGATCGACTCGAAATTCATTTTCAGCTACCCGGACAAAATTAGGTTATGATAGACTCCTACTCAGTATTGATACTCTAATGTGGTATCAATATCGATTTTGGTAACTGAAATTTTGGTATCAATACTAAACTGGTGGTCTTGATACCAAAAGCTTGGAAATGTCAGTTTTAACATTTTTAACCCTCAAATGCTTCCAAAATAAGCACTTAATGATTTTAAGATTATAGATAGCATTAGAAACTTATTTAGGCACAATAAATTACGATTTGAAACTAATTTAAAATTTGCTAGGTATTTACTAAAGTGTATATTATGGATTTTTTAAGAATTAGCTAGTTAGAACAAACAAGGTCCAAAACATACCCAAAAAATGATTTAAGGCCAAAAAGATGTCAAATTAAGCATATAAGGCCACAAAGATATAATTCATGCAATATTAACTCCCCTAACTAAATGTAATATGACACTAGGTGGGGATACACAATTAAACACAAAAACATATATAATCACATGAAAGCATAATATTGCATGAAATTAATATATTTTACCACTTGAAATAAGGTTGATTTGTTAAGTCTTCATTTCTTCAAGTGTCCTTCTTTAGTGTGTTTTAGAGCTCCAAAATAGCTTGATTTGTTCACAATAGCTCCAATACACCTACAATAGACAACTATATAACTTTTGGTACCCAAATCTTTTTGGGTCCATTGATGTTAGTTTCAAACAATTTAGTCCCCTTGGGTATCCATGGAGATAGAATATCCATATTTTTTTGTAGTAATGACTCCTTTGGACCCATATACTCTTAGCCAATTTTCCTTTATAAAATTTAAGGGAATAAACATGTCTATTGTAAAAGTCATTTTTGAAAAATTTGATTTGGAGCAATCTCCTCTTTCAAATTTATTTTTAATAATTTTGTCAAAATTAGCCTTTTCTTTTTCAAGATCATTAATTTTCCTTTAATGATCCTCATGAACTCTGGAAAATAAATTCGTAAATATAAATTCTTTTTATTTAATTTTTCTTGTAAATCGTTGATTTTACTTTCAAGTTCACTATTAGTCTTAGAAAGTGAGTCATTTTCAATTTTTAATTTTCAATGAACCTTTTTGTGTTTTGAAATCATGACTTCACATTCCAACACTAATTCATCATAAACATCTTGTAACTCATCAAATGTATAAGAATTTGAATTGAATGAGTTAGAGGATACCTTTGAATCTTTTTGGATGACAATGAGACAAAGATTGACTACTTTATAATTTTCATCATCGGCATCACTCCCTGTAGCCACGAAAGCCTTCTTCTTTGGCTTGCTTGATCCTTTCTTCTTTAAGTGAGGGAAATCATACTTAATGTGTCCCAGTTTTTGGCAATGGTAGCATATGATAGGATCATTCTCCTTCTTTGATCCACACTTCCTTTCTTTTTCTTTGGATGACATGAATTATTTGAATCTCTTGAAGAGCTTGGCCATCTCTTCATCTTCTTTATCCAACTATTTACTTGAATCTTCTTTATCTCCATTGGTAGACTTGAGAGCGATGCCAACATAATTTTTTTTCTTCTCTTGCTTTCCCTCTCATTCTTCTTTTCTTTGAAGCCTCATCTCATGAATGAGCAATTATCTAATAAGTTCATAAAGAGTAGGAACTTTAAGATCTTTGTCTTCTTCAATAGTTATCCTTTTGGACTCCCATGACATAAACAATCTATTGAGAAACTTTATAACAATTTCTTCATTTGAGTAGAATTTTCTGAAACCCTTTTGCTTATTGATAATAACGGTGAATCGATCGGACATGTATGTCTTCATCGGACTTCATTTTGAAATTCTCATAGTTAAGACCGAAAATGCCAATATTTGATTTCTTCACTTGAGTTGTTCCTTCATGAGTGGCTTCAAGCTTGTCTCAAATTTCTTTAGCATTAAAGCATAAGGACACTCTATTGTACTCATAAGGGCCAAGTGCACAAAAGAGAATATGCATGCTTTGGCGTTGAGTTAAGCCAGCTTCCTATCTTCATTGGTCCATTCCAATTTGTTTCTTAGAGGAGTAGATGAGACATCAATGATGATATCCCATATCGAATAATTGATAGCTTGAACAAACAACATCATCCTATTCTTCCAATAAGAATAGTTTGCACAATTGAAGTATGGTGGTCTTGTAATGGATTGAGAGTCTTCAACATTGTAGGAGTTGAAAGTTGAAGCCATATTTATCGGTTGATAGACTAACTTAATAGAGCTCTCCAGGGACCTTATCAAGGTATTTAGACTGTTGATTGAGACATGCTCTAATACCAATTATTAGCTTTATCGAATAACCAAAATCGCTAAGATGGGGTGAATTGGCCTTTTAAAGCTTAGCGATGGAAGCAAGCGAAAAATAAAATTTGCATAAAAAATTTAGAGTGGTTCGACTTTATAAACTAAAGTCTACATCCACTACCTTAGCATCCACACTAAGGATTTCTCAAATCCACTAGATTTACTAACCTTTGAGAATAAGGTGTAACCTTACAATAACACAAGGTTTATGCTCCAAAACCTTGCCTACACTCTCTCCACAAAAGAAAGTACAAGCAAACAAAAGAAAAACATCACAAAGGCAAATATGTTTACAAATAATTAAGAACACACCTAAATCACACTTAAGTAAGAATGAACAAAGAAGCTCACAAGTATGTTACAAAAAAATATGGTACTTTAGCTCTAAAACTCTTTTAATGTTGGTTTGATCTTGCAATTGACTTTCTTGTTGTTCTTCATTTGAATCTTGATCCATTTTATGTCTTCTAACATCATTCTAGCCATTTAGAGCCATTGAGGATTTATTAGAGCCTTTTGACTCGTTAATTTTGAGCATTTAATGGTCACCAGCACATTTGGTATCAATTCCGAGTAGTTGGTATCGAAACCGACGATCTTGACGGTAAAAATATAGTCATTGAGCCCTTGGTATCTATATTGTTTAAATGAGTATTGATACTCACCTATTAGTATTGATACCAACATAATGGTATCGATACCAAAATGCCCATTGGAATTTTCGTATCGAGACTGACATGTTGGTCTCGAGACTAACAAGGGATTCTGGCTAAGTTCAAGTGTTTTGAGCTTTAAAATAATATTTATAAAATATGAAATCACTCAATAACACTTGTAAACATTTTTCACATTTAAAAACACTTTAAAAATAGTTTATGAAAAATTATTTATAAAATCGTAAAATGAAAATTTTAACAACTTAAAACATTTAAAAATCATGTTATATCAAAATCAAATGTTGGGTGAATAGATACTTTTGAACACTCTAAAGTGTTTCATCTGCAAAGATTGGGTTCAAATCACCGTCCCATTTTACTTGATATTAGTGATGGTGGAGGAATTCAAAGATTCACCCTTATTGTTACATTGATGCTTAGAACGAACACCCTGATTTCAAGGATTTCCTTAAAAGCGTGTAGGCTAATGAGAGAGGCATGTTGGAAAATATTAAGAATTTTCAAAGTAGAAGTCGTGACTGGAACATAAACGTGTTTGGTCACATTGGAAGGTGCAAATCTCTGCTCTTTTCACGAATTCAAGGGATTGAAAAGGCCCTTGATAATTACGATAACTCGAAGCTAAGGAAACTATAGAATGAGCTTAAACATGAGCTAAATATGGTTCTTGTCCAGGAGGAGAGCCTTTGGCACCAGAAGGCCCGAAGCATTTGGATTCAGAATGGAGATAAAAATACCTCCTACTTTCACAAGTCAACAATTATGAAAAGGAGGCAAAACACGATCAATATGTTGAAGCTTCCATATGGTACATGCTGCCGAGACCATAAGTTATTAAAGAACCATGATGTCCACCTCTTTCAGTATTTGTTTGCTAGTGGAAGGAATGGTCGCCATCTTAGTGATGATGTTCACAACTTTTCTAAGTTTTCTATTACTAAATTGTTAGACATAATGAGGGAAGTTTTTCTTGAAAAGGTTCGATTGGTGGTGTTTAGTATGACTTCTTTGAAAGCACCTGACATAGATGGTTTACAAGCAATTTTTTTAATAAAAAAAAAATTGGAACATTGTGGGTTGGTCAATGTTCAAATTTTTGAAGTAGTTTTTGATAACGGGAATCTCGAAGACTGGGTGAACAAAACCTTGTTGTTTTTAATTCCAAAGGTCAAGGACCCTTCCCTTATCAGTTAATTTCAGTCAATCAGTTTGGGTAACGTTCTTTATAAGATCATTACGAAGCTTATTGTCGTTCGTTTGAAGCCTTTTCAAACTAATTGGATTACAACATAAGAGAGTTTTGTTTCAGGTTATTAAATAGTTGATAATATTATTCTAGCACAAGAGGTAATCCACTAGATGTCTAAGAAAACAAGTAAGAAGAGTTGGAATGCTATTAAATTTGATATTGAGAAAGCCTATGATCGACTGGAATGACATTACATTGAGGACACACTTAATGCAATTTGTTTGCCTGATAAAATTATCAATCAAGTAATGACATGTGTTAGATTGATATCAACTCATGTACTTTGGAATGAGGAATTATCGGACTGCTTTAGGCCTACTATAGGAATCCATCAGGGAGAACGATTATTGGTGAGTAGAAACAGATCCGTCTTTCAAGGAATAGGTTTGGTTTGTCGCATCTATTCTTCGTTGATGACTTAGTTTTGTTTGCGGAGGCTTCTATGAACCAACTTAGTAAGATTAGAGAGGTTCTTGATGGGTTTTGCGCTGAGTCTGGACACCGAATCAGCGCTGAAAAAACCGAGGTATTTTTCTCTAATAATT